CACGCCTGTCGGGGAGAAGTCCCTGCCGGCAAAATGCAAGGCCGGCGCGCTGGCATACTGCCCTACGATGGACCTCATTGCTCTAGTCACAGAGGATGACGAGCTACGCGTCTTCCGACTCAACGGACAGAAGGTCTTTGGAGGCTCTTACAAGGGCGATCCGTATCTTGATGAGGATGATGGTGGAGGAGAGATTCGCGGGTTGATGTGGAAGAACACAGGTATGTATTCCTAATGACCCCCCTCTTTCCATCGATACGATCGCTGGCTCTGGGTCTCACCTCCAAGGCGCTGAAATCGAAACCTCATTGTTTTCGGTTTGAGCAAGGATGGTTGACACTTTTATCTAGGTCATTTACTCGCAGTCGCGTGTGCGGATAACACCGTCCGTATCATCAGTGCCTACAGTGGCAAAACAGTCCACCATTATCCCGCGTATCCCCAGGCCGAGGGCGACGCGGCTCGACAAGCGGTCAAGGCTACGTGTATAGGCTGGGGTGTAAACTTCACCGACACGAAAGTCGCCCAGCGAAATTTGCACGACGCCGCTGGCCAGCTCACCGTGGAAGATCTGCTGTCGCCTGATACCCATCCGTCCCGGGCAGCAGCGCTGCTCAAAGCCGATCTGCCACGAGAACTGGCATTGCTGGATGTCGAGAGTTCTTTGCCGAAATTGAGTACTTTGCCTGCGACGGGGAGTGAGTAAGTGTTTTTTTGCATATTGTGATGCAATGAAGCCATGAAGAAAGAGGTCGTGTTGTTTCATGGGGCTAACGTGGGGTGTAGGGATGATGTGTTCAGCTCCAGAGCATCTATCGATGCGATCTTCCATTCATCGACTAAGAATACCAGCGACGCTGTTGATGTGCTGCTTGTCGGGTTTGATGACGGCACAGTGCATCTGCGTATCTTCGACTGCTTCGAAATCGGTTCTTTCCAGGTGCAAGGCTCTGTTGCGCGTCACAGCCCTGGTCACATTATCCGACATGCCTCCCATCCGCTGAGCTCGACGCATGCACTCTTGGCCGGGGAACCGGATGGTGCTCCGGAACCGTTACACTTAGTTACGCTCGATCTGCGCTTCATTACCAGGTCGGGGAGATATCTCTCGCTGCTAGCACACAAGACGACGCAGCTACATAATCTTCTGCGGTATATCGGCCAGGTCCAGAGACAGATTGAGCTTGAATGGAAGAATGCACAGGAGTTGCCGGCGCGTTACATGCGCAGCATTGACCAGGATCTACAAGAAAAATGTCATTGCGATTTCGTCACGGCGGCATATCACTTGGTGGTGACGGGGAACTGTTTTGAACCCTTAAAGGAATTCCTTGTTGAGATTGTTGGTGAACGGGTAAGTATTTGATTCCTGGTCTAGCTGGGAAGGCGTGAGCGGTTAACCATCTTTTCTCTGTGGCTTACAGGGACACAAACGGTGGGAGAAGGCTGTGTCGTCTGGCTACGAGAATGTCCGGCGATTGACCCACGAGTGCCTCCTTCCAGCCTTGGAAAGATGTCAAGTGCTGCTCAGTCGCTTGGTTGGGCTGTCTAAGTTCCACAAGCTGAGTGAGGTGCTGGGGCTAGAAACTACGGATCTCAACGCCATCGTGGAGACGCTCGATTGTCTCCATCTTCTTGGCCATCATATCCTCATCAATGCAAATGAGGAGCTAACCCAGTTCAATGCTTTCTCCCGGTGGCTGCGCCATGAGATTGACATGCAATCTGCGGAACCAATGTCGCAGACTTTGGAAGAGCTGATGGAGAAGACGGACATGGTGGAATACCCGCAGACTCTCAAGTACATCAGAGGCGCTTTAACCAAGAGTGCGCTACGGAACTTCATCCGGCAGCTACCTATGATGGGAGTTCCAAGACCCCCAGTTCCTCCGGATGCTTCGGAAAAATGGGCGCAGGTAGGGCAAGGGCGCTCATTCTATGACACCTTTAAATCATTGCTGGGGCAGCAGAGTCATGCCTCGAGCGAAGCTGATGCAGTGGCACCGCCTAAGATGAATGACTTGACGAAGCTTTTAGGGCTGCAATTTGACAAAGTATTCGGACAGATTGCTTTGACGCAGCGCAGAGGTATCCTGCACAGGTCACCTCTAACCCTTCACCCAGACTGTGACCGAGATGTCATTGACGTGACCATGCGCCATGAGGTAAACCCGTCTACTCCGGTCTTCTTAGGCTTGGTTTATTAACACTTTGCTAGGCAACCAGCAAGGACGAAGACAATTGTGTGATCTACGTTGCTACCAGATCGGTCAAGGCCAGGCACCTCCGTAAGATACCCTCCTGCCTACGTGAACCGACTTTGGCTGATCTAAGGCTGTGACCGACCAGTCTGCTGCTACCGCGTAGTTCTAGATTCCGAAAATGGAGTGAGCTCGACGCAGAGCATCTCCACCGCGGTTGTCGATCTCCAGGGCGGGGAGATTCGTCAGCTACAGTTTGTGGAGGATGATACCATGGTGATTTTGTGGTCGAGTGAGAGTAAGTAATCATCGTTGTCATCCGTGTGAGGCGTTATGCCGATAGCCGCAATGCTAATCCCAATGCGCATTAGAAGGAACATCATACCTACTCAACCTTCCCTTTCAGCCTGCCGCGGCAATGGGAGCTGATGAAGAGGTTTTGGACCCCGTCTTCTCCATCGAGTACCGCGATGTACTTGATAACGAGCGAACAGATGCACCGCTAAGCACTACGATGAACGTGGACATTCTTGCGCCCAGCTCCCAGGATTTGGGAATCATCAAACACAGCTTCATTGGGGCCAAGGGCAAAGCTCGACCCGTGGGAATTGATGTCAATGGCCGCCGTGGTCGCCGGGCAATTTGTGTCATGTACGGTGACGGGATGCGATACGAGGTATTAGACCTGGATGCAGAAATGGGGAATGATGAGGATGAAGACGAGGACGGGGATGAGGATGAAGACGAGGAGATCATTGAATAGCATATTTCAGTGTACTAGGGAGATCTCAGTGAACAATGCCTTTGCATGCGACAGTCAATATAAGAGTCAATATACCATAGTACCTACGTATGTACGATAGCCCCATGTTGAGAAAAGGAACAACCTAGAGGGGCCAATGATTCCATCTCCAAGCTGTCTCGGTTTCTACTAGGGAAACCCACATAAACAACAACAGAAGCAGAAGGGCTTGCGCATGCTTCTGGGGTAATTCCAGTGTTCCAGATTCCTCAGTGTGTCACATTGGTTCTTCCAGCGGCGATCTGAGACGGGTCTCATACAACTGAGTACTCCGTATTTGCAACCCCTTCAAGCGAACTACTCATAGGAGAAGTACAAGATTGTTAGAACTTTTTTCGACTATTGTTCTCTACACAAAAGATTAAACCTTGCAATTAGCTGTCAGGTCGCGAGACCTGTCGGACATCCAAACTCAAAATAAAAATAAAATAAAAATAAAAAAAGCTTTCAGATGCAGAGAAAAAGCCACAGCAGTCTATCACCCACTGAGGAATGAGCGATCGGGAGAAAAAAAGAAGATCAAAGAATCGGCATGGAAAGATCAGCTGCGGTGGATCTCAAAACAAAACAAAACAACAACAGCAAGTGGGTGAGTGGGTGAGTGGGTGAAAGTGAAAGTGGTTTGTGCGATGGATTTTTTTTTTCTTTGGTCGCCGGGGTCACGGGAGTGGGGAGTGGGTAAGTGCTTCAAAGCAGCAAAACCAAAACAAGCAAAGGGAAAGCGAAGAGGTGGGAAAAATGACAGGGAGGGAGGGGGAGGATGTTGAAGGGAACCTGAAGGGAAACGGCAGGGAGGGACACATTGGAACTGTTTCCATACTACGAACACTGACTAGGTGGGAAGGGAGATTGAGTGCAGGGCGCAGAAGGAGGGGCAGATTGTATTGGTATTTCCGGGTGTATGATACAGTACTAGGTAACTTAAGTAGTCAGGTATCTTACGGAGTGGTAGTGGTAGTGGTGACGACAAAGACAAGGAGAGAGAGCTATGGAGCACAGGGCTGCCTGCTGTAGTCTACTGAAATGAACATAAGGAGAAGCTATTTGGCTAGGGAGACGGGCAGCTTGTTCAGGGATTTAAGGTACAAGTAGCTACATGGACCTTGGTATCAAGATTTATATAATCGACTTATCTATCGCAGGCCTTGCCCTGCTGCATATGGCCCTGGCCCAATGACCTCCTGGTGGTCTGCTCCTTCAACTGGAGTGAAAGGGCTCTCTATGTCTCGGTCGGTCTCTGGTTACGTGAAATGACTCAGCCAGTGCATTTTCGATCATGTAACCAATGAGAAGAGCCACAAAAGGCAGTAGCGCTCATCCATTCCAGGTCTTTTTCGCTCTGGAACCAGCAGCCCTGAGAGGGTGCAGTGGAAATCCATTGGTACGGGCATTTGGTAACTCGTAGCTGGTGTAGGTACCGTCGTACTGAGCTCGAGACTGAGCAGCCTGCCAGGTAGGTGAGTGTATTGCTCCCGCTTCCCTTTCCATCCATCTCTTATCCCCGGTCCTTCCTTTCCTCCCTCCCTCCCTCTCCTCTCCTCTCCTCTCTTCTTGTTCTTCTTCCTTACCAAAGGAAACACCCCTCACCTGAGTAAGTAGTCCGGATCAGCTTCAACACAGTATCAATCCGACTGTCCCGCAATCCCCCTCTACTCCCCTTTCTCCTTTTGCCTCCTGCTCACACCAAGAGATATTTGGGGGTTATCTTTTCTCTTTTCTCTTTTCCTTATATTCCTTGCGCTGTGTTTGAAGCGTGTTCCAGGTGTCGGTTCTGTCACCATATTACTCACCAGTACCCGTCCCGTTACCCCCTCCGGAAAGAACCTCTCCAGTGGTGTATGCCTCGTCATAATCCACAAAAACAACCTTTCTTCTTGTCCTTCCGAAGAATTCATTCAACCCTCTCTTCGTCGTCCACTTCCAACACTCTTTTCTGGTGGACTTTTTGAATCCCTTTCACCCGCCCGGATTTCTATTAGTTCGTCGCTCGATTTGCACCGGGCCCGATCTTTGTCTTTTTTTTTTCTCTCAGTTTCCCCTCCCTCTTGATTTTCGCTCTCGCTTGCGATTCCTGGTGCTGTTTTCCGCATACGGCAACATGAACGTCACTCAGGTTTTGGAGAGCACCCTCTCGCCAGGTATATTCTACTTTTCCCTCCCCCCCCCCACCTGTTGCAAATCATCTCGAGGCGCAGTCGGTTCCCCATCTGAGGCTGTGGCACGATTGCTGATGGTCGTTCTTGCTGTGTACCATAGATGCGGCTGCACGTACAAATGCCGAACAGCAGCTCGCCCATGCGGCTGAGGTTGACTTCGTAAGTTCCCTTACCTGAAAAGTGCCAGCCATCGTGCTGTGGTCGCGTTGCAGCTTGCTAACCTCAAATATCTCTGTTCAATAGGCTCAATATCTTGTTACCTTGGGTCAAGAATTAGCAAATGACAACACCCCGTCCCACATCAGAACCGCCGCCGGTCTTGCGTTGAAGAACGCTTTCACATTCAAAGACCTCGCTAAGCTCCGCGAGGTCCAACTTAAATGGCTACAGCAAATTACCCCAGAAATTAAGGCCCAAGTCAAGGAACTTGGCCTCAAGACGCTCGGCTCGAAAGATGGTCGGGCCGGCCAGTCGGCCGCCCAGGTCATCGTTTCCATCGCCGCCATCGAGCTCCCCCGGAATGAATGGCCCGATCTGATGCAGATCCTGGTTCAGAACATCGCGACCGGCTCTGACCAACTCAAGCAGGCCTCCCTGGTCACCATCGGCTTCATTTGCGAATCTCAAGACCCCGAGCTCCGCGAGAGCTTGGCTGCCCACTCCAATGCTATCCTCACCGCCGTTGTCCAGGGTGCTCGCCGCGAGGAGCCGAACATGGATATCCGCTTCGCTGCTATCAAGGCCCTCAGTGATTCCGTCGACTTTGTGCGCTCGAACATGGAGAACGAGGGTGAGCGGAACTACATCATGCAGGTGGTCTGTGAGGCGACTCAGGCCGACGATCTCCGTGTCCAGGCTGGTGCATTCGGCTGTCTTAACCGTATCATGGGTGCCTATTACGATAAGATGCGCTTCTATATGGAGAAGGCCCTGTTTGGTCTGAGTATCATGGGTATGAAGAACGAGGAGGAGGATGTTGCCAAGCTCGCGATCGAGTTCTGGTGTACTGTTTGCGAGGAGGAAATCGCTATCGAGGACGACAATGCTGCGGTACGTTCTACATTATGATCTTTAGAGTAGGAAGTCAATTCGGCCATAACTAACGACCGTTGCAGGCCCAGGCTGAAGGGATCCCTGAGGTCCGCCCGTTCTTCGGCTTCGCCCGTGTTGCTTGCAAAGAAGTCGTTCCCGTTCTGTTGCAGGCTATGTGCAGACAGGATGAGGATGCCGGTGACGATGAATACAACGTCGCACGTGCCGCTTACCAGGCCCTGCAGCTCTACGCTCAGTGCGTTCAGGGCGATGTCATCCCCCCCGTATTGGCATTTATTGAGGCGAACATCCGTAACGAGGACTGGCGTCACAGAGATGCTGCGGTCGCGGCATTCGGTGCCATCATGGATGGCCCTGACCCCAAGGTTCTGGAGCCTTTGATCAAGCAGGCTCTGCCAGTCCTGGTCGGCATGATGCAAGACAGCTCTATCCAGGTCCGCGACTCAGTCGCTTACGCTCTCGGCCGTGTCTGTGACTATTGCTCTGAGACCCTTGACCCTGAGGTGCATCTGGAGCCCTTGATCTCTTGCCTGTTTAATGGTCTTGCGAGCTCCCCCAAGATCGCCAGCTCCTGCTGTTGGGCCTTGATGAACGTCGCCGACCGCTTTGCTGGCGATTATGGAACCCAGACCAACCCTCTTTCCAAGCACTTCGGTGAGAGCGTCAAGTCGCTTCTTACTCTTACCGAGAGGTATGGTTTCCACCCTGTGGCACCCTTGATCCGTTGCTAACCCAACCGACAGGCACGATGCCGACAACCAGCTTCGTACCGCTGGCTACGAGGTGCTCAATTCCTTCGTCAACAACGCTGCCATCGACAGCCTTCCCCTGGTCGGAAACCTGTCCGATGTTATGCTTCAGCGCTTGGACCACACCATCGGCATGCAGCAGCAGGTGGTCAGTGTTGAGGACCGCATCACTCTGGAAGAGATGCAGACTAGCATTATCAGCGTCATTCTCGTAAGTTCGCCCTGATTCTCACGCATCCTATTGCTTTCGCTAACCAGAAAGGCCGTTGTTCAACGCCTCGAGACCGAGATCAAGCCCCAGGCCGATCGCATCATGGAGCTTATGCTTCGCGTACTTTCGACCGTTCCGCCCAAGTCTAGTGTTCCTGACGTGGTATTCGCCACTGTCGGTGCTATCGCTAGTGCCATGGAAGAGGAATTTGCCAAGTACATGGAGTCTTTTGCCCAGCCTCTGTACAATGCTCTCAGCAACCAGGAAGAGCCTGGTCTGTGCTCCATGGCGATTGGATTGGTCAGCGACATCGCTCGTGCCCTGAATGAGAAGATCCAGCCCTTCTGTGATGGTTTCATGAACGCTCTCCTCACCGTTTTGCGAGTAAGTCAACAGTCTTGACAGTTCTGTGACCGTCCAACTAACTGTCTTCGAAGACCTGCGGCAATCAGCTCAAGCCTGCTATCCTTGAGACGTTTGGAGATATCGCTCAGGCTATCGGCACTCAGTTTGACACCTATCTTCAAGTTGTTGCAACTGTCCTCCACCAGGCCGCGGCCGTGACTGCCAGCGACGATGTGTCTCTTGACGCCATCGACTACATCATCTCCCTCCGTGAGGGTATCATGGATGCTTGGGGTGGTATTCTTTTGGCTTACAAGGGCAAGCCTCAGAGTGAGCATTGTCTACGACCACTCAGCATGTGCTTTGCTGACATCATTTTTCAGTCTCTCACATCACACCTTTCGTCGACCACATCTTCCAACTGCTCCACACCGTTTCTCAAGACATCAACCGCAGTGAGGGCTTGATGAGGGCCGCTATGGGTGTCCTTGGGTAAGTTTTCGCTGTTCAAATCAGTCCTGTGGATTTTAGCTAAACTCAGTGTCAGTGATCTTGCCGAGGGCTTCCCCAACGGCGAATTTTCCAACTACTTCCGCAACGACTGGGTCACTGCCCTTGTTCGCGAAACCCGCCAGAACCGTGATTATGGACCTCGTACCATTGACACTGCCCGGTGGACCCGTGAGCAAGTCAAGCGCCAGATCAACATGTCGACTGCTGCTGCTATGGCTTAAGTGACAAGTATCAATCGCCCTCCCGTCAATTGATCTTTCACTCGACAATATGCCCCCCCTACAGGACGCCGCCAGCTTTTGGCGCACCGAAGGAAGTAACGCCGTGGCGACGCTGGCCCCATTGGCTGGTGGACCTGCATTCTACGGAACCCCGGGTCCCTCCCAGATTGCTCATTCATCATGTGACCGTGTTTTCAGTCTATCATACTGCGAATAGGGCTGATCTTTCCGCCGTCACCGTCCCTCACTCCACACCCCCCTTGAGCACCCTGTACCAACCCTCTCACCCCCACCCACCACCCAATTTCTCCCCCTACCATCCGCACCAAAACCTCCCCCTCCCCTTGCCCATGTTGCCCCAGCGTTCAGGATGTCCGTCCTGTGCAAATGACTGCTTTTCGGACTCTTCCTTTTCATGCCATCTCGTAATGCATGTTGGCGCCATTCATCGGCCTTGCGTTCTCGAACTTCTTCACCCCTATTATTACCATTTCCCACCTGCCGATTTTCGTTTCCCCTCACGTCGTTTTTAATTAGACAGAGGTTCTACTAGCATTATCATGTATGCCCAAGAAGTCATGTACCCCCATTCCTATTGTCACGAATTTCACCTTGCCCTTACTCCACTGACCCTCAATGGATCAAGAAGACATGTATAGAATGATAAACCCATCCCTTTACTCCCGTATACATTCACAACATTGTAATGTTGCCCGTATTCTACACTGGCCATGTAAGCAAACAGCTGCGCATTGTGCATTTGTTGTGTTCCTATGTTGCAGAATGACTTGCCCGGTCACTGCCAGGCAGAAGCACATACCGTGGCAGCTAATCTCTGACGAGCAGGTACGACTTGAAAGGTGAAAAGGTCACGATTTTGTATGCACACTCTTCTTCTGCCATAGAACGTCTTGTCTCGCAGGGATTTTACATCTAAAGATTTCATGCCTGAGTCATAAGCTTGACAGATTCATCCGCCCATTACTACACATTAGGCGGCTGTTCTGTTTGGTGCCTGAGGCATTAGAATTAAACGGTCACGTGAGCTAGATAAGGGCACAGGTTGACAGCCCTAGGGCCCACCCGCACACCCCATGAAAACTTCTTCGCTTTTGTCGGCCGCGTCCGCTTCCCTCCCCTTCCTTTGATCCCAACCGACGTCGTCGACACTTCACGAGGTATGTACAACCTGTTGCCTCTCCCTGTTCTGCAGCTTCTCAGCTAGTCTGGGAGAGCAATCACCCGGATTTTTTGGTGTTTTTTTTACTTGCAGGTGTAGCAACCGACAGCAATGAAGACAACCAGAAAGGCCGGCGTGATACGCTTCTCCTCATACGGCCCGGGCTGAAGAACCCTTCATGGACTGCATCAGGGGCACTCTTTGCGCTCGAGGACTACTGGTGGCTGACTATTGGACTCCGGCAAATCCTCCTCGCGCCTGAAACGGCGCCGAGAGGATTCTAGGTTGGAGTTATCTTCGATTCAGATACCTCATTTCCCCTCGTATTCCCTCGATTTGAGAATCTCGCTCTTCCACCGTCAAAATGGTCAAGACTTCCGTCCTCAACGATGCGCTTAACGCCATCAACAACGCCGAGAAGGCCGGTCGCCGTCAGGTTCTGATCCGCCCCTCCTCCAAGGTCATCATCAAGTTCCTCTCCGTCATGCAGAAGCACGGTACGTTCTGTCCCATTCAAGTGCTGCACACAGGAATGGAAATGAGTTTTCGCGAGAATGAGTTCGATCCAAGCGCCGGCATCACACGTAGTAGTCTACAGAATTTCGGGTTGATAACTAGGCGGTCTGTTTCGCAAATCACACAACGCTCGCCCTTTAAGTGCCCGATATATTGAAACCGGCGAGGATCTTACAAGTTTCCGAAACTCATTTTCATTTCTGTGTTTGGTCTAACCTTTAAATCCGCGCCACAAACCACTAATTCTTCTCCCTCTTCAGGCTACATTGGCGAGTTCGAGGAGGTCGATGACCACCGTTCCGGCAAGATCGTTATCCAGCTTAACGGTCGCCTCAACAAGACCGGTGTCATCAACCCCCGCTACCCCGTCCAGCTCCGTGACCTCGAGAAGTGGACTACCCAGCTCCTCCCCTCCCGTCAGTTCGGTTTCGTCGTTCTGACCACCTCTGCTGGTATCATGGACCACGAGGAGGCTCGTCGCAAGCACGTTGCTGGCAAGCTCCTCGGTTTCTTCTACTAAAAAGTTTCATCTGGCGATGTCCTGAAATGATTGGAATATGTCTTGTTATGATGTGGACGAGGGATGTGCTCTCTGTTGCTTGTCTTGGCGGAGAGTTTTCGGAATCGATACCCCCGGCAGAAACGCCATAGATAGTTTATTGATTTAGAGTGATCTCGTCCAACCAAACAAGGATTCTTTCCGTCGTTTCATAAAGTTTCCATGTTTCTATCGGTAGAGCAGTAGACCTAGCCATAGTATAGGCATAGTGTAAATCTCTCTACGCTCGGACCGAGGCCGACTTCACAATGTCCGCTGACCGCTCGCGCTAGTTACTGTTTCACCCCAGGAATTTCCCCGCAGTCTGCCATCAAGTACTGTATGTACTCTGTGCTTGCATACATTGAGGCCACTGTAAACCACCATGCCTCTCGACACAATTTACCTCACCCGTCACGGCGTGTGTACTACCATTCTATCCCATGAGCAACCCATCACTTACTAACTGTGGCTCTCCTATACCTAGCACCGCCTCAACTGGACGATAGACTACAAAACGGGCACCTACCATGCTCAATTCCCAACCCCCACAGGCAATCCGGCCGATCCCACCCTCACCTCGCACGGAGTGCGCCAGTCCCATGAGCTCGCTGCGCATCTGACCAGCGATAGCGTCCATCCGAAACCTTTTCGCGTCTACTGCAGCCCGTTCTACCGATGTCTCCAGACAATCCAGCCATCAGTGGAGGCACTGAAAGAGCTCCACCAGAGGACATGCTCGAAAGCTTGTACCTCTACGACAGCCACAACGGACAGCACCATTGAACCCCACGCAGACTTTGACGTGCGCATTGAGAATGGTCTAGGGTGAGACGCGGATCCCGTTCCGAATCTACGCGAACCTTTCCACTAATGCAAGCATACCATCCTGATTGAAGAGAATGGTTCGGCCACACCACCTTCTTCGAACACCCGCAGCCCGCCCCGCATTCCATCCTAGCCACCCACTTCCCGACCCTCCTCCCCCTCCCTCCTGCGACATCTCCTCCCCCTAGTGTCCGGGACCGAGGAGGAAACCCACCAACCACCCCCCATGTGATCCCCTCGCCCACCGGCGAAACCATCGCCCAACTCCACGACCGCGTCGCCACCGCCCTCGCCGGCATCCTCGCCGACGTCGACGCCGAGATCGCCGCGCTGGAGGCCGCGCAGCCCGCCCACGAACCCCGGACCAGCAAAGCGATCCTCATCTGCTCGCATGCGGCGCCCTTGATCGCCATGGGCCGCGCGCTGACGGGCCACATGCCGGCGGATCCTAATACCGAGGACTTCGCGGTGTTCACGGCGGGGCTGAGCACCTTTCGCCGCCGCCGTCGCGAGAGCGGGGACCGGCGTGATGCTTCTCCCGGCCAGCAGGCTGAGATACCATCACTTGCACGGGGGACGAAAGTCCTTCGGGCTGGTACAACAGTCCCGGATTGGCGTGGGGGCAAAGGTGTCGCTGGTGGGTGGGATTGTGTGCGGAATGGTGACTGTGAGTTCTTGAGTCAGGGGGCTGAACGAGGGTGGTTTGTATATCCTTTCTTTTCCCTTCCCTTGTGATTCGGTTCTGTGGTTGAGGGACCTGGAACTTGGGCTAACGGGTGTTCACTCCTTGTAGGCACTTTGATGGAGAAGAAGGGTTTGATACGGGCCCTATGGCGCCAGAGGAGGCAGGGCCGACGTCGAGTTTGGATACTATGGCTACTGATGGTGTAGGTGAGCGGGGGATGAAATTGTGACACTGACGCATGGTCTCGGGATTGGGGGGTGGGAGTATAAATACTGATGGTAAGAGCTATGTTAGTGGTAAGGAAGGCATATATATCCAGATAGTTCCCAGTTATCGTCGACACTACTTCTCCCGCCAAGGGAATTATAGATTATGCCCTAGATTATGTCCGACTGAAGCAGCAAGGGTAGACTACAATTACATATCAATGAGTATTAAATTCTGAGGCTAAAGGCTTCAACGCGGGGGGGGGGGGGGTTCAAAGGAAATATGTCGCATGTAAGCCAAACGAGGATAAAGCACAGTGAGAAACAAAAACAAAAGGTGAAGTCAGTGGCAATATGGCTGATGCCTTGCGACATCAGTTCTCAGCTGCCTGGGGTATCATAGTGTGACCTTCACTCTGCGCTGCATCCACGTTGTTCTCCTGCTCTACCTGCTGCTCCTGCTGCTGTTGCTGCTGTGCTTCCTCACGTTGACGGCGTTCTTCCTCCTCCCGTACGCGCTGCGCAGCTTCCGCAGCATTGCGCACCGCAACCTGGCGCTCGCCTACTCCGGGCACCAGGCTCGCAATGAACAACGCCACAGATCGCTCCACCCTCCGCAGCTGACGACGCATTTCACCCGCAACCCCTGTGCGGGGATTGCCGTTCGTTGGGCCACCACCACTACCACCACCAACAGCACCTTGGCCCCCCTGGCCTTGGGCCTGAGCCGGCTCATTAGGGGTCAGATGAACTAGACCTTCAAGGTGTTGCTGCACCGGAGCCACAAACAACTGGTACAGTCGCTGATCCCACCCGGTTTCCGAGGATAGCACGAAGAGCACGGCCAGCGTCACAAAGAACACGCGCGCCCAAGTCCCGGGTTCGGTGAACATATAGCAGAAGAAGTATAGCCGGGCGAACTGCCAGAGCCGTAGGATGATCCGCGCAAGGGCCAGTCGTCTGTTCTGGTTGGGGTTGTTGTCGAGTCCCCGCTGGTTGAGCACGGCCCGGCGAACGACATTGTCCAAGACGGCTGCGTTCGCGTTGGGAATCTCAGGCATCGGAGCAGTATCTTGGTCTGGTGTGCGATTTGGAGGGTGGGTTGCGCGAAGTCTCTCGATGGTTGCCTGCATGGCCTCTGCCCCTTGGGGCGAGGAAAGAAGCCCCTGGTATCCGGATGGGGATGATAGTAGATACAAAGAAGCTGGTCCAGGTGCTGACGTAGCGATCGCAGCACTGGCTGAGGTGTTCTGCAATCGTGGAAACGCGGCTTTAGACAGGCGGAGCTGGTGGGCGCGGGTGTATATATTGAAGACGCGGGACAGCAGCCCTTCGATTGAGCCATCGCGTTCAGCAAGAGGGTTCATACATTGTTCATCCAGGATGGTGAGTAAATGTGTTCGGATTCTAATTATGTGATTCATCGGAGGCGCAATGCCGCGGTTCAGCTGGCTTTCTGCCAATTCCACTTGACGACTCAAAGTCTGCAAGCACTCTTCTGTTACTGGAGCGCTAGAAAGAGACACAGTGTTTGAAAGACCAGTGGCTGCTACTGTCTCGAGTGAGGATGTCCGTGGCAGTTCTGGGCGTGTTGTAGACACCGAGGACGATCGATCTGGCCACGTTGGTCGCTGCTGCTGGGCAGCCGAAAGTGCTGGATTCAAGCTGGACGAGAAGGCGGTTGTGCCTCCCGACAAGTTGCCTCGGTCCCGCATCTCGATCTGCCGTCGAATTGTCTCAATATTACGTCGCAAGGCCAGTCCGACCTCGGCTTCAGACGCGCCTGTGCGCTCTGGCTCAGCTCTAGGTGTGGGTGGCTCAGGTCGGAGGGTCATCGATGGAAGGTGAATAGCAGAATCCGGAATGAATTGTGGTTGTTGCGAACCGGGGGAGCTGAGGGTGCGTGGTGCCGAAGATTCAGAAGATGGAGGAAGAACAAGATGGATGGAATACTCGGTGGCCTTCACAAATTACCAGTCAGCTAGGTTATAACAGAGTGATTGCAGGCACCATCAAAAAATCAAGTTCTCTTACATTAGGCGGCTCCAGTACATCTCTCAACGCTGCCGCATCATTCAGAAGTGGCTTCCCACGATAAATCAAACGTTGGCTGTCCGGAGACGGCTGGCTCGGAATTGCTCCTGCGAGTCGGGCCTTCAGATCCGCGACAGTCGTAAAGGGGGACACATCTTGAATGGTGTACCGATTAGGAGGAGGCAATGATGGACACAAGACATGCAAGGTGAAGCTCTCGAGCGAGTCCGATGATGCGCTTGGAATGTCTGTAGTCGAGGCCATCTTTCTATGCTGGGATTTTGGCGCTGTTCAGAGGACGATTGGTTTACAGGCACATAGCCACAAGTTGTAGAGCCGCTTCACATCGAGCACGCTGTCGGATAAGTTGGTTCAGGCAATCTGTCTTCCGCCGCGGAAGTACAGTACAGGCCAGGTCCCGGTGCCAACGGTGTCCTTTTCAGTGACAGCAGCTCTAGCTGGCACCCACAAGGCGATTCAAATGACGCACAGTCTCGCGTATCACCTATGGGAGAGCAAATATCTTCAATTGTACAGAGCCAAGCAGCAACAGCAAGAACCCACCGATTGCTGATAAAGATGATGACAAGATGAGTAGTTACCGTAAGTGTATCGACATGCCAAACAAATGGCGGAGATGGCCCATTCTGCCGGGCGGTGAAGATGCCTTCTTGCCGATCACGTTCAGGAAATGAGGATTGCTGCTTCTGCCCTTCGCCATCAAAGCCCCATTTTCACAATTTCACACCTTACTTGTGCCGGTTAATCGTAATTTTTCACGTGCCTCACCCGCCCTCGGTTATTGCCCCCCCCTCTGGGATGACTCTCACCCAGTAGAGTCGCATTATGGCCCTGTGCCTGTCCAGTTGTTCTGCGCTGTTTCGCCGGAAGGTGTTGATTTCCCCTCATGTGGAGAGGGCTGGATTGATGGAAGTGTCGTTGAGGGCCACTGGTCGTCGTCCGGCCGGTGCTCGCCACTTTTCCAAAACCTGGAAACAATCCCAGAATCAGGACCAAAAACAAACCTCGTCTCGTCGCAGCACATTCGGCTCCCGACTCCGTTTCGCGCTCCGCAACACCAAAGTCGAATGGTACCCCATCCCCGTCGGTCTAGGCATCGGCCTTCTCGGCCTGCTGCAGTTCTATAAGGCCCAGCGGGCTGAAAGAGAACGAGCTGAGCGAGAGGCAGCCGGAGAGCCTTTCGACTTCCAAAATGCCCCTGCTCGTCCCAAACATCGACTCAGCGGACCATGGCAGGTCCAGATTATGTCAACCTTGCCCCTTAAAGCTATGTCCCGACTCTGGGGTCGCTTCAATGAAATCGAATTGCCCTACTATTTCCGTGTTCCTGGCTTCAAGTTGTACTCCTGGATCTTTGGCGTCAACCTTGACGAGGTCGCCGAACCCGACCTTCA